AAAGCTGTCAAATTGCTGCATAGGGGAGAAAGTCAGGATATTCAGCTTCTATTTCTGCCAAAAATGCATGGAACTCACAACAGTTAGGTTCACAAGCATCAGTAAAGTGTCAATACAGTTGACACTACTGGTTCAATGAACCCATGATAAATTCTAATATTTTCTACAAACTACCTGTTGATTAATAATATAATGAATAACCATAGGTTTTAAACACCTTACATTTTCACAAGCTTTATAATTTTTGTCCAACTAAGTTTTTCTACTCCACACATCTTTTTACCACCATCAGTTGGTGCTGATTTTAGTAGATGACATTTCCAGTTGTCCTGAATTCGTGTTTTCTTGACTTCTTTTAAAACTTTCTCACCTAGAGGTGCTCCACACAGGCTAGTCACAGAGGCTAATTTTACAGACATTTCAAACTTGGCATTTACTCCACAAATAAATCACCACAACTGTGAACATCAGTAACATCTGTTAACTCATCAAGAGCCAATGGAAACAACTTAAAATCATTTGCTTTGTTTTTTAATTGACTATTGCTGTCATTCCCAATGTCCTCAGCTCTTCCAACAGTCATTCTCACTGAAAGGCTAATAGTATTAAATAAGTTTATTTTCTCTGGATATATTTCTTTTGCTGCTGCAAACATGATTTAATTAGGTCACCATTGTTAAATGACTTTCCTTGCTTGGCTAACAAATGAGACACTTAGAAATTTACTTTCTTTGTATTCTCATTTTATCTTTGGGAAAGACTTCTGTTGTGATGAGATATTCCATTTTAAATTCTCTAATTTTTCTTATCATTGCTCTCTTGTGAATGCTTAGTTTGGTAATGTCAATGTATATTGTATTCTCTCAGAACAACTATATTATTGTTACATAATAGATACAATCCTTTGCTATATAATTCAATAACAAAATAATCCACATGCCACTGTGGATTATAAACCTACTTAAAAACACATTAAAAGTCTACTTTTCTCCTCTTTTCTAATTGTAGCATAATGATTATGTACTGTACCATCAGAGTTCAACCACAGGAGTAGAACCAGTAGGAGAACTATATGTTCAGAGATTTATTACAAGGAATTGACTTACATGATTTGTTTTTGTGTTTGTGAAAAGTTTAATGAAAGAGGTTAATTTCCAAGAATAGTCAAGATGAACTTCAGTTTCCTGGACTGTACATGAAAGAACTCTTCCTGAGACTTAAACCTTACCAAACAGTCTCCTCATTGCCACCTGTCCAAGATTTCCTCCAGGAAACATTATTTTCTTTTTATCATCTGTGCGTTAGGCTATGTTCTCTAGAGGAGCAAAACCAGTGAAGCATATATATATAAACAAAGAGAGAGATTCATTTCAAGGAAATGGCTCGTGAAGTTGTAGACGCTGTCAAGTCTCAAATCTGTGGATCAGGTGTCAGGCTGGAGGTTTCTCCCGACTCCTGTGGTTGCAGAGGCTGACAAACCCAAAATCGGCAGGCCAGACAGCAAGCTACTGGCTTACCAGGCTGTGGGACCTGGCAAATCACAAAATCTGCAGGTCAGTCGGCTGACTCCTGGCTCAGCTTCCAAGAACTGGAGGTCACAGATGATGAGTCAGCTGCAGGATCAAGAGAAGGCAGGCTTTGCAAGAATGTCCATATATATTGGATGCAGGCCACACACCCAATGAAAATCTCCTTTCAACTGACTGGCTGCTCACATCAGAACACAAAATGGAGAATGATCACATAGTATTTGCCAATCCACTGAGAATCATGACCTAGCCAAGTTAGCACATAATCTTAACAATCACAGAGGTGGAATTTTAAATTGGCTCAACCATTCTAAGGGTACTTTTGCAATATGTAATCAAGCCTTACAACTACATTTTGACCCAGCAATTTCATTTCTATTAAGTTGTCCATGAGAAAGTAATTCAAAGCTGTGTATATAAAAGGAGATATAGCATGAATTTTCATAGCAGGGTTGTTTAATTAAACTTGGAAATAATTTAAATGTCGAGTAATAAGCTGTTATTTAAAGCAATATTGTTACAACTATAACACATATTACCATACAGCCACCAAGAACTACATAGTATAAGTATATTTACAGTGTGAAAAGACTTATATATTATACTTAAATGACCATGAACGATTGCAGGACAATTTGATTCTATTTTGAATAGTACAATTTTTTGAATGCATAAAGAAAAATTCAAAAATAAATGTATCAAAAGTTTCACAGATTTGAGAGAAATTATTTTCAGAGATTTTTCTCCCTTCTTGGGCTTTTGTACATGTAACCTACAAATATAATTTAGAGCCAGCAGTTTGTTATTTCCAAGTAAGTTTATTTCAACAATTTTTGCTAAATTTGCCATATTTTCCCATTCCTTTCTATTCCTCGAGATTCACAAGGGAAGAGTGTCTTCTTTCTCCCTCTCAGTTTTTATTTACCACAGGTGTTTTCAAAAAAAAAAATTATTTTTTACTTCCCACTGTGTGCCAGGCATCCCTCTAGTTGCAATGAACAAGAAATCATGGTCCCTGCTTCATTCCTGTGGAAAGAAACAAAAAAGAGTTAACAGACCAATCCTAAACAACGGGTTAAGAGGCTATTATCACCCTTATCTTTATTTATAATATGATAAAGAATGGCTGGGATAAGGAGGCAAGAGGGAACATCTTTAGATAGAAAGTCTTCTCTTGGAGGTGACAGACCTAAACGATGAGAAAGAGCCAGCCCTGCAAATATCGAGACAAACTGTCCTGCATTTAGAGGGACGGAACAGTGTACAGGTCTCAAGAGGCCATGAGCTTGGTGTATTCAAGTAACAGAAAGCCCAAAGTGACTGATTACAGTGAGCAGGGAAGAGAGTGATATGAAAAGCATCAGTAAGGTTGGCAGACTCAGATCTCGTTAGGCTTTGTGGATCCTGGTTAAGTAATGAGGTAGCGTAAGTGCTGATGCCCTATTCATGCTGTGGTCTGTGGAGTCAACCTGCTCTTAGCCTCCAGTGCTTTCCATGAAGTCCTTTCTTTCTGGGACAATTGTTGCCTCAAGAGACTGGGCAGAGTGTGTGCCAGCCCCATTCAGTAACCTTCACAAATCCCCTGTACTCACACATTTTCTTGAATCTGCCCGCTTTACCACCCCTCTAACTTACCTGTAGTGATGGCTCACCTCAGGGATCCATGGTCCTTTCCTACAATCAGACTGTATACTTCTAACACAGCTTTCCACACAGTGGCTGGCACAGGAATAAGAACACAGTGAGTATTCAATACTTCTCTTTTTTCCTAAATGAATTATTACGTATTTCATTTTTTGTAAGCTACCAGCTTCGTAACTTCTTCCAGCACACTGAAAAGCACTATACGTAGCAAAATCAAGCTTCATAGAACTGATATACTATATAAGAAAGACAGCTGGAATACGAGAAGAAAGTGCAAAGAAAATGTAGAAAGTAAATTGAATTGTGGCACTTTGATGTCCCTATATTCGGGGAATTTTATCATTAAAATTGTTGAAGAATCCTGTAGTCCTATTAGGAAAAAAGCAAGTTCTAGAACAAGGACTGATGAATGGCGTTAAAAAGGAAAGGAACAATCTGTAGTCAGCATGAGAGAAAGTCATCAAAACTGAGAAGTGGTTTAATGTTTTATTCCATTTTGTTTAACAGGCTCTTACATAATACTATAGACCAAGAACAGGCTCTTATATAATACTATAGACCAAGAAGAGATTAAAGCATTTTACAAATATCAATTCACTTGATCCTTATAACCTTGTGAAGAAGGTACCTTTGAACCATATGTAACAGTCATTTTTGTAACTCAAAACCAGTCAAATGTTGGGAATTTCAGATGGTTTAACCTACTGTCCTTGTTTTACAGAGAGATGGAACTTATACAGAAATGAAGCAATCTGAGAATTAGGAAGAAGCAAAACTGAAACTTGAAGTCAGGTAGTCTGGCTCAAGTGCTTGTAACCATGTCACTGTAAATGGGGGCAGGTTGTCCAATACGCAAGGTAAACACTGTGCTTACCTTGCTTACCAGATCATCTGTAGTGAACAACTTCATATTTTTTCACCGTATCAAAGATTCTTTTAGGTATGACTGGAATCTATCTCTCTCCCAATCCCACAGTACCTTCCTACAGAACCAAAGCCTTGTTTCAAGTATACAATCCCTGAGAGGAATGGATTACCCAGCCAACTAGGTAAGCATGGCTTTACTTGTGCTTACTTCCTAATCTACAGTGCACAATTTCGCACTGGGTAATCTGACCCCGATGGTCTGGAAAAGAAAGGAGTTTACCTAACGGAGGAAATACTACTTACTTCATTATACTTAGGGCAAGGATTAGCACCAGTTGGAAGAGAATTATTAAACAGGTCATTTGCCCCTTACTCTCCATTGTTCAAGTCCCCCAGCAGCACAGGAAAATAGCTTTTAAAAGAACTGGAGTAATTATGAAGTTTAATTTATAGTTATCATACACACTAACTGAAATGATTATGAAGCCATAACCCAGTAATCCAACCTCTCCTTCATTGTTGTGATCAGAAAAATGCAGCCAGGTATAAAAATTTCAAAATAACTGTAGCTCTTTACTTTCATTTAATGAAGGGCAATATATATTGAAGAATAAGATGTAGGCAACAACAATGTCTTTAAAATCCCTTTTTTATCTGTTATCTTTTTTCACACATTATAGCTGCTCCACATGTCTCACACCAGAGTCCCTCCCAACCAAAATTTTCTACCTTAATAGTTGCAAATAATTCCAAAGCACTATCATCAGATTCTGAATAACAACAAATCAATCTGACAAAGAAGGACATTCCTCCAAATGTAGAGCAGGGAAGGAGATATAGCACGCCAATCTAGAAACCTCTTTATTAAGGAGGGAAAAGAAAAAGGTGAAAATTTCCATATATTAATGCGTGTCTGTAGCATGGACAGGGAACGTTAGAGAGGCTTGTCTCTCTTGATATCAATATCATTTAAAACAGCCTCCTAAAACTCAAGATCTGGCTTAATAGTCTCCTCATTGCCACCTTCATCTCTTTGTTCCTAAAAGTGTAGATGACAGGGTTCATAAATGGGGTGATAAATACACCAAAAATGGCAAGGAATTTATCCACTGGCACCGTGGGAAATGGCCACAAATACGCAAAGATGCACGGACCAAAAAATAAGACCACCACTGTGATGTGAGCTGACAGTGTAGACACGGCCTTAGACAAGCCACTGGAAGAATGTTGCCAAACAGTGATCCAGATGAACATGTAGGAGATAATCAAAAGGAAAAAAGTTCCCAACGAGATGAACCCACTATTGGCAGATACCGTGAGCTCCAATCTGTAGGTGTCTGTGCAGGCAAGCTTAATAAATCGAGGAAGATCACAGTAAAAGCTGTCCACTTCATCGTGGTCACAGAATGGTAGATTTACAGCAAATACTAGTTGGATCAGCGAGTGGATGATTCCAATGATCCAGGCAGCCACCAAGAGTAAAATACAAGTATGGAAGTTCATGATGGTCACGTAGTGGAGAGGCCTACATATAGCAACATATCAGTCAAGCGCCATGATTACAAGCAGCACCATCTCAGTTCCTCCAATAACATGAATGAAGAATATTTGAGCAATGCAGCCTTGGAAAGAGATTACTTTTCTCTCCTTGAAAACATCAGAAATCATCTTTGGAGCTGCACTGGAGGAAACCCACATGTCAATAAAGGAGAGGTTGGCCAGCAAGAAGTACATGGGGGAGTGCAAGTGGAAGTCAGACATCACTGTGAGCACAATGAGGAGGTTTCCTAAAATACCTGCTACATAGAACACAGAGAAAACTAGAAAGAGGACAAGTTGTATCTCCAAAGAACTGGTGAGTCCCACCAACACAAACTCAGACACCACTGAGTGATTTTCTTCCCTCATGGTCTCGTTCACTTTGGAATCCAAATTTCCCTGAAAGAACAGGAGAAATAAGAAATTGGAATTACTGGATATATCAGGCAAGGTTCCATCAGAGAAGCAGAGGCCCTAGGAGATAATATACTAAGGGATTTGTTACACAGATTTCACCTTACATAATCATGGAAGCTTGTTCAGTAGTATCTGTAAGGCTGTTCTACTTATAACTGATGCTTTAGCTTGAAATCTGCAGGACAGGCAGTCAGCAAGGGAAGGTGGATGCAAAGTGGGGGAGAGAAAGAATAAACTGGAACTCACCATCAAGAGCTAGAGCCCACAAGGGCAGACTGAACCTATGTAAGTTCTCAGTGCCTCTAACCTCGATGGTGTGGGTGTTCTGCAGAAGCCAGGGACCTTCATCAAGGAGCTAAACACACACCCAGCCCAGGAGTTAGAGAAGCTGAAGGAGAATCCCAAGGAAGGTGGTACAGTTGCAGGTCCATCCACTGTCTTCCACCAATAAGCCGATCCAGCAAATAAATGATAATACCTGCAAGCTACAAAAATGACTGCTGCTTCACTTCTGCCCTCTAAATCTTTCACAAGTATGTCTCTTGAAGCCCATCTTAACTGAAAACATACGAGAAAGGAATTTCACAGAAATATTGTGGCGCTTACTAACAGAATGTCCAGGTAGGAAAGAAAACGTACAAATTTTGAAATTTAACTATTGTCTCTTTCTCAGTAAAAACTTGACCATACAGGTACTTAAATCTTTTTGACAAAGGCCATAAAACCTCAGTCCCTAATCTCACCCTATCTTCCAACAAATTCCCTTGTTTTTACTGACTCTGTGAAAATTTCACAATGGGATTTCCTCTCGTGTCAAGGAACCACCTCAAGTAAAAATATCAATAGAGTTTGGTGGTGAAAGGAAAATGAAGGCACTATGTATTATATGGCAAAAAATTATTGCTTCTCCTGGTCCACAGGGACATCAAAATGCCAGAGAGTTTGGAGATTGACTTTTCTTTCTCCCTGATAGAAATATTTTGAGACTATCCCTGGGATTAAGAATTGGTCTACAGACAATCTAGGCATCCGCATGATGGTTTAGGAATCAGTAACCAGTTTAGTGAGGTTCATTTCAGGCCACCCTACAGATATTCCAAATAGGCTTCCCCATGTGAAGGAAATCAAAAACTAATCTGATTTCCAAATTCTCCATCTAGGGCTAATCCTAAAGAATTTGAAAGCTGATCTAAGGTTTGAGTTAGCATGCGGGAGTTCTCAGAAACATATACACCTGTTCAAATAAAAAAAGAAAAGAAAAATGTAGCTTGTTTTCTAGCCATTGAACGTCCAGAAGGTCCCAAGGACCCCACAAAAATACCTTACCAACATAGAAGATATTTGTGTTCACCAACATGTCTAGTGGATAGAAAACACTCAATAAATATTGTTCAGTGGATCATTGGATGGTTAAATGGTTCTATGCATAGAAGCACGGACTAAGAGGTGGATAAATAAAAATTAGATAATTCACTGTTAAAATAAAAATTTTCTTTAATTACCAAGTTAAAGAGTTAATTTTATTTTTTATGCATTCTTCTTCAAAAACAAAGGTTTAACCAAATTTATTCTTGAATCAAAGACAAAGTCACATAGTTTTTTAAAAACTAAGGTTTTTGCCTCTAAAATTTGTGCTTTAAGTAACAAGTATTGTTTCTCAGTAATCTATAATAAACTACTGACAACCTTGAAAGTAAAAAGCAAAAAAAAAAAAAAAAGAGGTGGATAAATAAATGTGACTTTTTTTGTTTGGCCAGTTGACATTTCAGTGTTTGTTTTCTTTCATCAGATTTACTTTCCAACTACCTCTGTCTTTTTAAAGGGACCTACTTCTCACACTTTCAAAATTGATATTTGCTCTATGGTAATCATTCACCCTAGCAAGTCTATTACATCTTCTGAAAACTGTTTAGCGTAACATAATTTCAAGCAATTTTACTAAAACATAATTATAATGAATTTAAGAACAACCATCTACAACCACATTTATACCTCTGGGTAGGGTATTGTGGTAGGTAAAAAAAAAACCAGAAAAACATAAAGCAAGTTCCTAATCACAAGGGGCTTAGAATCCAAGGAAAGAGGACAAAGATAAATAGTAATACACAATGGTACATATTAAAAGCTAAATTTGTGGTTCAGGAATTTATAAAAGAGAGGATCACCAAGAATCAAAGTGAATCATTGGATCTGAGAGAACAGAAATTCCTTCTGTAGAATTCTCTGCAGGTGGTCATCTATACTCTCCATGAAAAATTTCTTTGTTGGGGAGCAAACTAGCTCCTGAAGCAACTTATTTCTATTGTTGGACATCTGTAATTATTAAGAAAGAAATTGTGAGAGAAACTGCTTTGACTTCTATCCATTGTTTCCAGTTCTGTCTTTTGAAGCTATGCAGATTTAATTGAACCCATCTTCCATATGCTAATTTTTCAAATATTTTAAGACATCTCTCATATCTATCAAAAGTTATTCTTTTCTGAGCAAACTACCACAGTTCCCTTTAAAATTCATCATATAATATTGTATCCAGTCTCCTTATACTCCTGGTCAACTTTCTCTTGAAAAGTTAGTCTTAAAATATGATAAAACAAATGAGTTGGAATGGACTCGATGGCAACGGGTTTAGTTTTTTAGTTTGATTACTCATTTTAATTACAAACACTTTACCGGTTTTAACAATAAATATACATTAGCTTTGGAGTAGTCACAGAACTAATGATCACAGAAGTAAGGAAATAATATTTTGATCAATATTAGAAATTAGAAATACAGATGTCAGTATACACATGAATATAACATGTATATATTTACAATTGATTTCTCTTAACTGACAAGTTTAAGAATCTAGTGCATTAGCGGTTCCTAAGGACATGCAAACAATACGTTCATAATTCTAAAAGAGATTTCTAGGTTTTAGCATAATTTTAAGCAATAAAATATGAGTCTAAAATAAAAGTTTATTCAAGAAAAGAGGAGACAAGCCAATATCTCTCATGAATATAGATGCAAATATCCTCAACAAAAATACTAGCGAACAATATCCCACAGCATATTAAAAGAGTCATACAAGACCAAGTGGGAGTCATTCCAGGAATGCAGGGGTGGTTCAACATTAGCAAATCAATCAATGTAATACACCACATCAATAAAACAAAGGAAAAGAACCACATGATCATCTCTATGGATGCAGAAAAAGTATTCGATAAAATCCAAGTCCCTTTCTCGATGAAAATCCTAAGGAAGATTGGAATGGAGGGGAAATTCCTCAGTACAATTCAGAGCATATATGAAAAGCCAACAGCTAACATTATACTTAATGGAGAAAGACTAAGCTTTCCTCTTGAAATCAGGAACAAGACAAGGGTGCTCACTCTTACCACTTCTATTCAATATTGTATTAGACATCCTAAACAGAGCAATAAGACAAGAAAAAGAAATAAAATGTATCCAGATTGGAAAAGAAGAAATAAAATTATTTCTATTCACAGATGATATGATCTTATATATAGAAAATCCTGAAGAGCTCACAAGAAAACTTCTAGAACTAACAGAGGAATTTAGCAAAGTTGCACAGCACAAGGTCAACAAACAAAAATCAGTTGGGTTTCTATACACCAGTAATGAGAAATATGAAAGGGAAAATACAGGAACAATTCCATCTAAGAGAATAAAATACCTAGGAATAAATCTAACTAAGGATGTAAAGGACTTATACAATGAAAACTCTGAAACATTGCAAAGAGATTAAAGGAGACTTAAATAAATGGAAACATGTTCCATGTTCATCAATTGGAAGACTTAATATTGTTAAGGTGTCAATAATACCCAAAATGATGTATAGAATCAACATAATCCTGGTCAAAATTCAACAGCCTTCTGTACAGAAATAGAAAAACCAATCTTCAACTTTATATGGAATGCCAAGAGGCCCCAAAGAGCTAAAGCAATATTGAAAGAGAAGAACAAAGTAGGAGGACTCATACTTCCTGATTTAAAAACATGCTATACAGCTACAGTAATCAAAACAGCCTGGTACTAGAAAAATAATATACACATAGACCAATGGAAAAGAATTGAGAGTCCAGAAATAAACCCACATGTCTATAATCAACTGATTTTTGATAAGGGTGCTAAATCCATTCTATGTGGAAAGAAGAATCTCTTAAATAAATGATACTGGGAAAATTAGATTTCCACGTGCAGAAAAATGAAATAGGACTCATGCTTCACACCATTCACAAAAACAAATTCAAACCGGATTAAGGACCTAAACATGCAAACTAAAACCTTAAAATTCTTAGAAGAAAATGCAGGGGCAAGGTTGTCAGGCCTAGCTTTTAACAATGGATTATCTAATATAATAACAAAAACACAAAGAGCAAAAGACAAAATAAATAAATGCAATCTCATAAAAGTTTGAATCTTTTGTTCATCAAAAGTCTTTACCAAAAAAGTGAAAAGACAAGTTACCTACTGGGAGAATATCTTCAAGGACAATATATCTGATAAGAATCTAATAACCAAAATATATATAAAACTTAGACAACTTAACAACAAAAAGACAAATAACCCAATCATAAAATGGGCAAAGGACTTGAATAGACATTTCACCAAAGAGGACATTCAAACATCCAACAGACACATGAAAAGATGCTCAGCTTCATTAGTCATCAGAGAGATGCAAATCAAAACCACAATGAGATAACCCTTTCACTCCCACTAGGATGGCTAAGATTTAAATTTAAAAAAAAAACACAACACCTAAAAACAACAAACGTTGGCAAGGATGTGGGGAAATTGGAGCCCTTAGCCATTGCTGGTGGGAATGAAAACTGGTACAGCTGTGGTGGAAAACAATGTGACGGTTCCTAAAAAAACTAAAAATAGGACTACCACATGACCCAACAATCCCACTCCCAGTTATATAACCAAAAGACTTGAAACCAGAGACTCAAAAAGAGACT